AATGAAATAATAAAAGCGGGTTTATTGGCAAACAGCTGGTGCTGTTAAAACACGACTGTAGAAAATAAAGCAAGAACGAGAATAAGAATCAGGGTTAATCTGGCGACTCACGTTCTCATATAAAGCTTCGACGGTCTCCAGATCCACCACAGAATGATCCACCGTCAGAACAGCTGCAACATACAGAAAACACACGCCAGGATTCTCAGTTCACATCACATCACGTGTTTTCTGTTTGTCTCCAGTTTGTATTTTCTCCCAGAAAACACACATTTACACCTCTTTCGCTTAGCCACTGACCACCTAGTCTTACTCTTCAGATTCGAATTAGACCAGTCCTGAGTTAAATAAGAAACTTAGAGACTAGTCTAAGCAGTTTATGCAAGCAGCAGATCTCTTAGGGTCTCTGGTTATATTAATGTATTGTTATATTTATGCTACTAAGATTAAAGGTAGATTTATTTGAATTTATTTATCGATCAAAAATATTTTTGAGAAAACAAAACATATACGCATATTTGATAAATTGCTCCTTTCAAATCAAAAGTGTCTTTTGTCTTTAATTTGAAGACTTAAATATTTCTTAACCCTCCGAGGGTCTCTTCAGTCACTTTTGACCGAAAAATTTAGAAATATTAAAAATCACAGAATGATGACTTTTGTGGCATTAGCTTTGTGAACACACACACAAAAAATCATGGACATGATTGGGATGTTAAAGAGACGTATATAACCTAAATGCTGTCTCTTACTGAAAGATGTAGTAGAAAGATTTATTTATTTTTAAAATCCACATCGTTTTATAGATATTTTGGACTTTGGGGGGGGGGGCGCCATTATTTCGATGACGTCGAATGGTTGCACTCGGTGAGATACTGGCGAAAGATAAAAAAGTAACACTTGCGGTCAAAAATGAGTGTGCAAAAAAAAAAAGCTCATAAATATAGCATAGTATCATAAAATCCCCTCAAAATTGTAAATTGATTTTCCTGAAAAAAAATTAAAATCAGGTCGGTTGCTAGGGTGTTCGGGGTTGTTGCTAAGGTGTTGCTATGTGGTTGCTAAGGTACCTAGGTCGGTTGCTAGGGTGTTGCTATGCGGTTGCTAGGGCACTTGGGGCGGTTGCTATGGTGTTGCTAGGGTGTTTGGGGTGGTTGCTAGGATGTTACTATGTGGTTTCTAGGCTAAGTGGTTGCTAGGGTGTTGCTATGTTGTTGCTAGGTTGGTTTGACTAATTGCTAGAGTGTTGCTATAAAGTTAGACAGACAGACGATAGATAGATATTATCAGATAATAGATAGAT